TGATATCATTTTATATTTACGACGGCAATTAGAAAATTGTTTTTTACATCGCACATGCATGTTTGTAAATTTTATGTTGATAGTTGTTGAACATGACATTGAAAATATGTAGCCTGCCGTCACAGATGAAAGCGAAGAAAAGTCGGATGATGAGATCAATAGTAACTCAAGCTCGTCAAATTGTGACAGCACTGCTCATCTGAGCTGCAACGACCCTGTCGATAGTAAATCTTCAAGAATGTTCGCATGTTCTGAACAAAGTTGCACTAAGACCTTTGTCAGATATTCAGCTTTGGTAAAACACTGCGATCTTGGAGCTCATACAAGAGCCCTCGAAAGAATAACTATTTACGACAGAGCAAAACTGAGCTGCGCTCAGCATCTCCAGGAAGGGCAAGTGAGAGAGCGGCCAAGCATAGCCGTCTCCAGTTCAACTACAGTAAATCGTGAGTCGCATGTGTTACCTATGGGCTGGGCGCTCAAACAAAGCTCGAATAAAGCGCGATTTAGCGAAAAACAAAAAGAATTTCTTGATGAAAAATTTAACATTGGTGAAAGAACAGGAAAAAAGAGTAATGGTGAGGACGTTGCCCAACAGATGAGACGAGTATGCAGACCAGATGGTAGCAGGCTCTTTCATGTAAACGAATTCTTAACACCACAACAAATCTCCTCTTACTTCTCACGGATGGTGGCGAAAAGAAAGAAAATCGTAGAATATGAAAATGCTGCAGAAGAAGAAGCTGAAACTTTACAGACCGTAACTTCTCAAATCACAGTTGCTTTAAATGCAGAATATGAGGAAGAGCAGTGCGCTGCTTGCTACAAAGATGATGCTATCGCTATCTATACCCACCATGAGAAGGAAAAACTGCGCAAGCAAAAAATGGCCGTCTTAAAAAAACTATGCTCTAACTATGGAATCACAGGGATTTCTGGAAGGAAGAAAGAACCCTATGTCAAAGCGCTTTACAGTTACATACGCGAAAATCCGTCTTCGCAACATGGACTCGTACTCGGACAGTAGTTATATCTACCATACGATAGGATGCGTGGATTCATTCTAAACGTTCTTAACCTGCTTTTATTCCATTTTGAATTGTATTCTAGACAAAACATACATCTTATGCTACTCGAGGGTGGTCGAGAATTGAAATTCGATTCATATCCGGTTATCGGTTTTGTTATTTCCGGTATTTCTAGGAACGTTGAGATTATATAAGGACGTTTTTGATACGAATTTTAAATGGTTTTAAAATATTTCAGGTAGCTATTTGGCTGGATATTTTGTTCTACACACTTGAACTTGTTTTTTGGTCCATAAAGTAGCATATTATGGATTGTTCTTCTGTATCGATTGCATTCGTACATCAGTCAAAATCAAAACGGCTTTTTCCAAAATGGACGCTGAAACGAAGTGAAGTTGTTGGTTCCATATGTGGACTGTATCGTCAACATATGAATGTGGTATAACCTGCAAACTAACAACAATCGCTGTCCGCGAAAGGTAGCTCAAGGCAAAAGCTAGAAGTCAAGTGAATAAATAAAATACCGAGCGAAAAAATCCATGTTGCACTGGACTCCAAATCATGTAAGGTAAGCTGTGTGTCGATGGGGTATCTGTTGCAATCGCTAGCTTGAAATGTACACCGCCTTTTCCAGCAACGAAGCCAAACTAAAGCGGTAATTTTAAACAAAAGCTTTCATTTTATTGACGCTTCTTACAAGCTATTAATTCTGCTTCAAATTCCAAAAATTTCAAGTATTTTGAAATTTACCTTAAATATATTTTAGCGCCGTGGCTAGAGTATTTCTTTCCCCAAAATTATTTTACTATATTTCAAAAGAGTAAAATTCGTACAAGTTATTGTGGTGTTTTCGTTTCTTGGAACAGCGTACTTCTCGAGAAATTCGAAAAAAAATTGCGCTAGATTTTGCTGTTTTGTAATTTGACCGCAAGAGCTCCTAGTGAAGGTGCATATATTTTATTTTGCGTAAAACAAATTCCAGATAAACTGCTATCATTTCAAAGTATTAGGATGGATGTACAAACGAACGAATTTTTGTTACAATTGATTTTAATGTCAGTAAGTAGTAGACTGTTGTAGTTGGCCTTCGAGAGGGTAAAAAATTGGCTCAAAACACGAGCCCATGGCTGGCGTGGTCAATGGCAGTTACCATGGCAACAAAGCGTTTGCAAAATCTAAAATGGACAGATATGTTAATACCTCAGGGTAACCTCCATGCACAATAAAAATGAGGGGGAATTAAAAATTTTCATTTCCAGTTTTGCTCACTTTTCTCATGCACTTGCTCTCAACATGTCCCACGGTCCTTCCCTTTGTAACGGTGCCCACCACCGGAACTAAACCGACATCAGTCGCTGCCATCCCTCCGCTGACCTTGGTGGGGTTGCCCATAAAATCCACCCATAACTTTACTGCATGGGGCTGTTGCTCCAAAGCTATGTTAATGACCATAGTAGCATAATAGCATCAGATGCTTCATCACATTCCCAGGACCAAAATTGCATCCGAAACAAAGGAGCAAAGATACTCCAACATCAAAAATCCCCTAGCCAAAGCCAGCAGAGAGATGACAGCTTTGCCCGGAAACCAGGAGGGTTTATTTAGGTACCCATTTCAAAACTGTCAGGACTCACTAGCAAAAAGTCGCACAACTGAAAACTAATCAATATTCCCTTAAAGATTGTTCCCGAAATTATTTTTAAAACTAACTCAGCCGAAATTCATAACCCTATAAGTCAACAACATGAACAAACGAAGAAAACTAAACCTTTATTCTCAAAAACAAATCTGAAACTGGATCTAAAAAGACACAATCAGGACCTATCGAGGCGCAAACATATAATATATAACAAACACGCATAAATTATTACCCATGAAGGCTCGTTTATCTAACCACTGTGTAAAACACCCGTCATTACCCATTATTGAGGCTTATTTGATCCCTAAAGTTTGAGAATGGTCTGTACGAGGTAGGAATCCCCTGGAAGGACGGAGAGCCGAAGTTGACTAACAATTACGAAGCGGCGTTGTTACGACTCCAAAGTCAAGAGAAATCCCTCAGGAAGAAAGATCCTAGCATCCTGGAAGCCTACAGTAAAGTATTCAAGAATTATGAGAAAAAAGGCTACATTCAGAAAGTACCCAAGTTCGAAGTAGAACAGCAGTGGTTCCTCCCACATTTTCCCGTCATTAAGGTGGCTCCCTACAGTTATTCTTGTTTAAGCAATAATTCCGTAAAACAGGCTTATTCGTGCAGAACGCGAATTCTTTTCGACTTGGTGGTAATATTGGTCACCTAAGGAATATTTCGAACTAGATTTCGACGATGTCAATGTTCCCATGGCAACATGACGACAGCATAAAGCCTTCCAATTTAACCCATAAATGTGCCGCTATTTCAAAAACGATGTCGGTGACCTATCTTTTTTATTTCATATATCAATAAGGAATGATGCTCTGCAACTGTGGTGAAAGTTTAAAAATATTCTGTAGTGTGTGACTTTTTTAAAAGCGAAAAATTTATTGCGAAATTTCCACACTACAGATTTTTTAAAATTTGAAATTTATAAAATTTACCGCAAAATAAATTCGTGGTCAAAATTTTAAGATAGGTCACCGATGAAACTAATGAGTAAAATGCAAATAAAGTTAGAAAATAGCCTCGTGTAACTCGAGAAATTCCCCTATTGAAAAGCGTCGCTGACTAGTAAAAGATGGTATGCGGGCGCAGAACGAGTTTTCATTCAGCAAAATCGAGCCGCAATGTTGTTTTTACTGTTTTGTTTTTGTCAACTTTTCGATTTATTTGAGTGCTACGGACAGCCAAGGATTATTGTGAAGGATTAAATCGATGAAAACAAGGTTGAAGCTAATTGAATCCTGCCGTTTACTCAATCTATGAGCTGTAACAGCCTATTAACAGGTGGACGTGTTTTTTTGTTTCATGTTTGGTTTTGTACTTTTTGCTAAAGATGAACAATTAGGCTATGAAACTGAAATATTTTTCTGCTTACATATAATCACTTTAATCTTGTAGAAACACGACTAAAAACGTGAACGTTTTCTTGAGAAGTAAACAACTTTTTAAACGTTTGTATGCAATTTTGCAAATGTTTTACAGTTGACAATGTATATTTTAAAAACATTAAAAAACATTGTTTCGTAGCTATTTTTGGTCTAGTGGTATTCGTATCATATGTAGAATTGCTGTATAGACTCGCAAGTAATTTGGCACTCAAAACCGGAAGTATTATTCAACGCTTTTTCCCATTAGAAACCTTTCAGAAATAGCTTTTTTTAAAAATAAATATTTTGTTTTGTTTTGATCATGCGGTTGCGTGGGATAGTTCACGTACTGGTCCCGCGAACATCCCGCACGCAACTGTAGGGAGCCTCCTTAAGCAAAGCAAAGATACGACTAAGATACGACTAGCATGACGGAAAGAGTTTAAATGACAGCATACGGTCGGATCCGAAACTACAACGAGAAATAGTGGATGTTCTCACCCGCTTCCGTCGAGCAGCAGTTGCATTGAGCGCAGGCATTTCTGAAATGTTCCTTCAAGTTGGTCTACAAGACAAAGATCGTCCCTTCCACAGATTCTTATGGCGAGATTTCGATCCTTCAAGAGAGCCCGACGTATACGAGTTCCGCCACCTGTTGTTTGGCAATACTGCCTCGCCATTCTGCGCACAGTATGTAATCCGTGCCCACGCTCAGAAACGGACAGAAATATAAAAATCATAAAATAGTGCGAATTTCCATAAAAATTCCGAGTAATATTTGTGAAGATGAATGGGTAAATAAAGCACCGTGTTATTTTGTGTCTCTGGCGCAAGAATGATCGACAATATTTTGAATAATTCAGGTAAGGATGGCTTTATTTCGTTCTCGTATAGTGATGTAGTCGTGCCGTGTGCCCTATCTACCTGTCTGGTGATATATTTTATAATACATGAAGGCATTTATATTTAAATCTGCTGTTTATACTTGTTTAGTCACTTTAGTGTATTAAACTTCGATATAGAGGCATTGAAACAATATGATTTCAAGAATATATCGGCAATTATAATACCCACTGAATCACTGATCTATTCCCGACCAAATAGACAGTAATGATTAATGCCTTTATGCTGATACAAGAAGCAAATGAACTTTTAGTTTATTTGTTTGTTATGTCACTTAATATGTGCAAAGCCAAAGGCGGTGAGTATATAATAGTGTTCGGTACGTTCTATTTCTAGATGTTTATAGTTTAAAAACAAACGCGGGATGTTGTTAAATCAGGCTTAACAAGATTCCTAGAGCTACCCAGTGTGGATTGTTGTCTGCATATATGGACTTATCAGCAATTACATGTAATATAGCATATCAACTGACTTTTGTATAAGATATGACTTGTATAAGACTGCCTCAGTTATATATAAAGCCTATATAAACATGATTCTACTGACATACATTGATATATACATATGGCTGTGTTACCACAATAATGCTCACAACTTCAACTTCTTTCTAACAATATAGTTTTGCAGTTCTGACTGTTCTGAGTATGATCTTATTCATTCAGAAATATAAGCATTGCACTGTATTCAATGGCAAGCTATCCTGGATTCCAGAGCCTTCAGTTAATAATAAATTGAAATATCGTGAAGGCTCTGGTTCAACGGGAGGATTCTTTGATTAAACTGTGCCAATCACAAAACAGAATTAGCAGTTTTAGTACAGATTTTGGGCGTGTTAACCCATTAAGCGCCAGCGCTCTCCCCTTGACGAGTAAAATCGTCTGGCGTTAGACAGAGTAAAATACTCTGGCGTTAGACAGAGTAAAATACTAAAGTAGGGTGCATCAGGGTGCAATGCGACCCAATGGGTTAACTAGACACATGGGCAGATAGATCAGTTAACCCATTAAGTGCCAGCACTCTCCCCTTGACAAATAAAATCATCTGGCGTTAGACAGAGTAAAATACTGTTCAAAGTAGGGTGCATCAGGGTGCAATGCGACTCAATGGGTTAATATAGTACATAACATAGGTCATAGACATACAGTTTCAATATAATACAAAATGATTTTGAACAACGTCAAGGTCAATGAAATCATACAAAATGAATTTATGGAATATCAATTAAATGTATTTAAAACAAACATAATTTCAACATCCCAATAAGCAATAACATCCCAGTAAGTATAAATTCAACTATTTTAAAGTCTAAGAAGGTCCATGTCCTTTCAATTATAGTTAAAATAAAAGTTAAGTTAGTTTGAATATTAATCTAAACTAATCAATATAAACATCCAGCATATATAAATTCAACAAAGCACAGTTAAGAATTGAAGGTCCAATTAGTTTAAATATCAATAATATCCACATTAATCAGTTTGTTGGTTTGTATATCATACGATATAAATAGAGGATCTAAGTTTAACATGCACTGAGTGAACTCCTCGTGTGTTGCTGTTGGAGCAAGATTACCGATCCTAAGCAATTTATTTGCAGTATCATTAAAAGCTGTTAAACGCAGCCTTTGTTGATTGTTACCATTTACTTCTATATATAATCTAAGGTACCACTGCACTTTGCATGATCTAGCTTTTTGTACGATTTTGCAGCTTTCACAAGTTGCCAAGTTGCCATTGATAACAACCTTTTTATTACAGGAACAACAACACTGTGTTTTTGATATGTTTGTCACCCCAAGGATTTCGCCGGTCCCTCCCAAAACAGGAGAAACAGTCGTCTCCACAGAAGGCAAGGCTTCAGTGAAAGATTCATCTGGAGAGATGACACACTCGCTCTCATTTTTGGGCGTATTAACATATCTCTCATTTTTGGTTATCTTTACTCGAACTCTGTTGAATGAGAAAACTTTCCCTTCCTCAAGTGTGTCGGCATGTTTTCCATAAAGTACCAGCTTTATAAACCCAGAAGGGTCAACAATGAAACATTGTTGTTTTTTTACTGGGACTTCGTCAAACACAACAGTTTTTGTACTTGACAGCTGCTGCACTTCCCCTTTCACACGCACAAGTTGTTCACCTGCCACGTGTGATATGGTGGAGATCGATATGTTTTTATCCAATTCCTGATAATCGTAATGAACAACAGTTGGGATTAGATTCGTTTTCCTGGTGATAACGACATCTTCTCGGCCATACTTTTTACTAATAGTGTAATTCCTGATCTTCACTGGTGACTTTTGATTAGCCAAAGATTCCAAGCTTTGCTTTTTGCCGACTTCAAAGCACACAGCTCTTACTACTTGTGCCTCAGTCTGAAGATCGCAATTAATATACGAAGACCCATTTGATTTCTTGACAGGTGATACCGCGTGTATATAACAAGAGATCTCGGGCAGCCCTAGAAAAAGTTTAAATTAATATTTCTAAATTATCTACGTCTTAACTCTTAAGTGATTGTTGTGCGCTTTATAATAATTAAGAAGAAACATTTTTTTAGTTTTTCCTAAAGTCTGCAGTCTCGTTTAATACGCGTTATGTAGTTACAGTAAATAACCAAATGAATAAACGTGCAAAATTTAATATTGTTCCATAAGTTTTAGTTTGCATTTGCTAATAAACTTATTTGTCATGGGTTTTAAACTTCTCCGTGTGTGCATATAAACTCGTATTATAAAAGTACGAAAAACCCTATAATTATTTTAGAACTTTACCTTCGCTTCTTTCAGCCATTTCTTTCCTTTATTCCTTTAATGTAATTTGTAATATGAATGAGAACTATAAAAAAAATTGTGAATTATAAGTTCCAACTATACAGTCTAGTATTCCGCAATTTCAAAATATGTATCAATTTGCTTACCTTGCTGTATCAACTATCAAGACAATAGAACAAAAGAACAATTAGGGAACGAAATAATATATAAATAGCAACTTGGCAGTAAAACCGGTATAACCGGTTCTATTGTCTTATATGCTATTGTTATATAGTTAGTGTCAAGTTCAATTTTTCTGTTCGCCGATTGGTCAAAACCGTGTCACGTGCCGGTCCACAAAACGTCATGCTCGGCAACCGGCCCGCAATCAAACATTTATTGACTGGTCAATAATAAAATGGGTGCAATACGCATGCGTGTCAACCGCGAAGTTCCAAAGTTCATTTGTTAAACTTTTTACTAAACATTTACGGCGTTCCATTTATCCAGTTTTGGTTTCAAATTAAGTCCATTCCAATAACCAAAACACTTATTTACTGAGACATTGGGAAAGCAGTATGTTTTGTGGCCCCTCGATCGCCGTTGTTGCCCTCGGCTTCGACTCGGGCAACAAGGGTGGTCTCTGGTCCATAAAACATACTGTTTCCCTCGATCTCAGTAAATAAGTGATAATTATTATCGAGTCGTCATAAATGTCGTCATATAACTAAGGATAATTGTGCATAAGTACAGTGAGAGGCTCCAATTTTCTATTTCTCCAAAGCCTGCCTGTTCGCGGGTTATGTAGTGCATAACCCGCGAACAGGCATACTCTGCGAACGATTGATTTCTCATTTCTCACGAAACGGCGCAGATTTACAGTTACAATAACAGCAATATTGGATTTATTTGTATAAAGGGTAAGTAAGCATGTCGTTATTTATTTCAGCTAATATTAATCAGGGCAACGAAATTTTCAGCCCACAATCTAGAGGGAAGCAGTGTGCTTTTATAAGTATATCGGCGCTTTTAACAGCCCGGCACACGCCATTAATAAATTGGACAAGTACAACATTTGATAATGTTTTAATTCTTGGAGATAGAATGTATATGGAATGTCTAAATGGTGGTCTTATTTTGGCAAACGCGAGAGAAAGGTTTTTGTCTATTGATGAGTTACCCAAGTTTGTCAACATTTCCTATACAAACAATACATTTGCTTGTGAAATATGCTTGCCCCAACATGGGCAAGAAACTATACCCCATATGCCTCGTGTTTATACGCGAAAAACACATGAAAAACAAGTGCAGCCCATTCACGCAACCGAACCAAATGAAGTACCCATTGTGGTACAGCCTATTGAGGCAACTGAACCAAACGAAGTACCCTTTGTGGCACAGCCTATTGAGGCAAATGAAGTACCTATTGTGGTACAGCCTATTGAGGCAACTGAACCAAACGAAGTACCCTTTGTGGTACAGCCTATTGAGGCAACTGAACCAAATGAAGTACCTATTGTGGTACAGCCTATTGAGGCAACTGAACCAAACGAAGTACCTATTGTGGTACAGCCTATTATGGATGGAAATAGAAATGATTCACCCATTGAAGTACATGATTATGAAGGTAATGTTGGCCAATTTCATGACGTAACAATTGAAAATCAAATTTGTTATTTACATTTTGAACAAGAACGTCAAGGTCTTGTTATATCGAATCAAGATATTGATTCACACTACCATGATATTCACTCGGCTCTACTAGCTACTTTTTCTAGCAATATTGAGTATGCCATCCTTATTTTAAAAGGTTATATGATGGCTTTAATTAAACAAAATGACTGTTTCTATCTCTGTGACTCACATGCCAGAGACTATATGGGCATGCCTTGTGAAAATGGCACTGCAGTTGTTATGAAGTTTGATGATATCTCTTGTCTAGAACAACACCTATATTCTTTGTCAGTAGAACTACATTCCAATTTATTTGAACTTGTCCCTGTTCAATTAATTGATGTTGAGTCTGAAAATGAGAGACCTCAAAGAAACAGAAAAAGAAAGCTTGTGTTGGAAAGTGATTGCAAAACAAACAAAGAAGACCTGACAAAATTAAAAAATTATGAGTCAAAAAGAAAAATGTTATTCAGAGAAAAAGACTGTGACAAGCAAAAAAGACTTGCCAAAGCTAATAATTATAAGAGAGAAAAAAAATTAGTTGAAACTGATAGCCAGAGGCAATCAAGACTTGAGAGAAATCGTCTGTCTCAGAGACGTTCAAGACTGAGACAATCACTTGTTCAGAATGAAATGAGTCAGCAAGATTATTTGACACAATTCAACAATACTCAATATGGTGGTATTGAAAATCAATCGTGGGCTAAGACCAATATCAATAAATTTTACAAGTCAATGCAGTACAATGTCTGTCACTGTACAGTATGTCATGAAGCATGGCCGATAAAATCCACACCAGACCCACCTTACGTTTGTTCAAGGTGTTTTAGAGATAAGAAAAATCCAAAAAAAATGTCAGTTGAAAACTCGATGATACCATCATCTGTACCAGAGCAACTAAAAAATTTGACTCAAATTGAGGAAATGTTGATTGCTCGTGCTCTACCAATAATGAGAGTATATATTAAACCTGGTGGTCAACGAGGTTTTTCAGGGCATTGTATTAACCTGCCTCAAAATGTCAGAGAACTTGCAACATCTTTGCCCAGATATCCCAAAGATCTGACTGTAATTATAGTCAAAATGAAAGGTAGAGAAAACACATTTAGAGATGTGATTGTGCTAAAGCAGAAAGTAAACAGTGCTTTACTCTGGTTAATTAATAATAATCCCCATCATTCTGACTTGAGAATAAATGAAGATGCATTAAATACTTTACCAGAAAATGGTGTTCCTGCTAATCTCATGTCTATTGAGACTGAAGATGATATTGTATCAGATAGTGATTCTCCTGCTGCTGCAGGTCCTCCCACTGACAATCCTTTTGAGGATATTGTTTATAATGACTCAACTGAAATGAGTAGTTTTTTACCTGTTGGTGAACAACAACAGCAGGAAATAGAAGCTGTTCGAAATCAGCTTTCAGAAAATGAACCAATGTCTTGGCCATCACTTGAGAATGAACCTCTGAATGAATATCAGATTTCTCATCTTGCCACCATGGCTTTCCCAACATTATTCCCTGATGGTAAAGGGGATCCTACTAACCAAGGTCTTCTGAGAGATGTCCCTCTACAAGAACGGATTAAGCATCTTTTAAAATTTGCTGAATGTATTGATGGTAAATGGGTTTCCCGGTTCGCCAGCCATCCCAGATTTTCATATTGGGCTTTCAATATGATTCAAAGAAAGCGTATTCTTCAGCAAAGTGGAATTTTCCTCAAACAAAATCCAGGTGAAGCACATCTTAACATTGATGAACTACGGGAAATGGCTGACAGTAACAATGCCAATTTATTCATGTCCAAAATATCTAGATATGTCGGCAATATTGCTGGTACTACTGCATATTGGAATAGAGTAAGAGATGAGCTGAAAGCTATTATAACCAATGTTGGAGCACCAACATTGTTTTTTACTTTTTCCTCTGCTGACATGCATTGGCCAGAGCTCCATGCTTTATTTAATGCAGGAGGAAACGAAAATCAAAATGATAACCAAACCAGTGGGGCAAGGCGACAAAATGTTATTAACAATCCTCATATTGTTGATTGGTTTTTCACCCAAAGATTAGAAAGCTTTGTGAAACACTGGCTTTATGATACACTTGGTGCAAAATGGCACTGGTTTAGGTACGAATACCAAGGTAGAGGTAGTATTCATTGTCATGGTACTGCCAAACTAAATAATGACCCAGGATTGTGTCAGCTGACTCAGATTGCTTTGAAAGGATTCTTAGCACAGAAAGTGAAAGATGAAAATGATCTTTCTGACACAGTTGAACTTGACCAAGATATTGAAGCCGGTCATCAAGCTGCCAACACTGTATGTCAATATGTTGATTGGTTGCTTTCAACTGTCAATCCAAATCCACCAGATGACAACATGTGGATCAGACCTGAAGTTCATCCATGTCAACAACAACATTCGGATATTTCCGAACATGATAAACAGTCAGACTATGTTGATCTGCTAAACATGGTACAACGACACACTCGTTGTAGCACAGGTTATTGCCTTAGAAAAAAGTCAAACGAATCTGAATTGAAATGTAGATTTCATTTTCCTTTCAAACATTGTCCTCAGACAAAACTAGAGTTTGAAAATGTTCATACTTCAGGTGATAGTGAACATTATCGAGCCAAAATAGTTACTAAGAGAAATGACTCCAGAGTTAACAATCACCAACAAATTCAACTGCAAGGTTGGAGAGCTAATTGCGATATACAAGTTGTAATTGATCATTATGCTTGTGTTGAGTATTTAACCAAGTATGCCGCTAAAGATGAACCAAGATCTCCTGTATTGAAACAAGCATTTAATTCAATAATGCGAAATATTGACAATAACACTGACCCACATAGAGCAATAAAGAAAGTAGTAATGAAATCTCTTGGTGAAAGAGATTATGCTGCCCAGGAGACAATGCATCATTTAATGTCTCTCAAACTTCACAGTTCATCATTCAAAGTTATACCAGTTAGTCTGAACGGCTCACGCAGAGTGCGTGATATCTCATGTATTGACGAAGGTGAATCATGTACTGATTATTCACTATTAGATGTGTATGCTAACCGTGAGCAATATAGTACCTCACCTGAAGTAATAAATATGAACTTTGTTCAGTTTGCTACAACTTATAAAGTTGTTAAAGATAAATTAACTAAGTTACCTGAGAATGTTATACCAAGAATATTTCCGACATATTCTCCTAATCCAAAGGGACCGAATTTTGCCTCTTATTGCAAGTATCAACTTCTAAGGTACAAGCCTTGGAAATTATCTCAAAATAATGCATGGGGTGACCAAGAGCCATCCGATGAGATTTTTATCAATTCTTGGCATGAGTTTTTACAAACACCATATGGACAAGCGAATGTCCCTGATTGGTTTGATAAGCTACAAGCTGTGGTTCAAAGTCAAGAAACAGAGCATGAACCTGCTGTAGAGCAGGAAGTAACTCGAGAGGAGTGGATGATATTATCTGACCTCAATACTCCATTTGAAAACTCAGAGCAATTACCTGGGTTGACACATGACTGGCATGGTGACAGAGAATGTTATTCCGATCAACAAATTCATGAAATGCCAACATGGATAAAAACAAACAAAGAGGAATTCACTGTTGACGAGCAATACGAAGACGTTGACATCACCAGTTTCAGTGACATGCAAAACTTAGCTTATCATATTGTTCAGTCTCATTTTGACGAAATTTCTTTGAAGAAAGAGCCATTGTGCCTAATCATTAATGGAGTTGCTGGCACTGGTAAGAGTTATCTTATTAATGCAATACGAAACTTATTGCAAAACAAATGTGCTGTAACTGCTACAACAGGTAAAGCTGCTTATAATATTAAAGGTGTGACAATACATTCTTTATTAAAACTACCTATTGGTTCAAGAGGCGCCAAAGATCTCACTGGTCAAAGCTTATGTAGATTACAGCAAAATCTTAAAGATATTAATTACATCATTATTGATGAATATTCAATGCTTGGCCAAGTTACTTTCGGCTGGATAGACAAACGATGTAAACAAGCCACTGGCTGTCATGATAAAGTATTTGGTGAAAAATCATTAATTTTGACTGGAGATCCTGGTCAACTACCACCTGTGGCTGATAAACCTTTGTATCATGCTAAACCATCCAATGCTGTGGGTGAGCAAGGACATCAAGCTTACAGAATGTTCGATAAAGTCATTAAACTCACTGTGAATCAAAGAGTGCAAGGTATGACATCTGATCAAGTGTTGTTCAGAGATTTATTATTGCGCCTTCGAAAAGGTGAATCAACATTAGATGATTGGAAATTACTTCTTACACGTCAACCATCAAGTGTCAGTAATTTATCAGAATTTGATGATGCAACTAGACTTTTCTATAGTAATGAACAAGTTGCTAATTACAATCATGAACAGCTAACAAAATTGGCAAATCCAATTGCTCATATAAATGCACGCCATTCTTCTGCTGTGGCGAAGAAAATGCCATCTGATGAAATGTCTGGACTAGAGCCAGTTGTGTTTCTGGCTAAAGGTGCTAGAGTTATGTTGACAATGAATTTGTGGTCAAGTGTTGGCCTGTGTAACGGTGCAACTGGAACAATTGTTGACATTGTCTTCCAGAACAACCAGAATCCGCCTGACTTACCAATTGCAGTAATTGTGAACTTTGAGAATTACAGAGGTCCACATTTTTCAGAAGAACGACCAATGTGTGTTCCTATATGTCCTATCACTGTCTCATCACAGACTGAAGGTGGTTTCCATGAGCGGCAACAGCTGCCTCTTAGACTCGCTTGGGCCTTAACTATACATAAAAGCCAAGGACTTACACTATCAAAGGCTTGGATAGATGTTGGAAAATCTGAAAGAACTGCTGGAGTATCTTATGTTGCTATTAGTAGAGTCAAAACCCTCGCATCATGTGTCATTGAACCGATGACTTATGAACGGTTAACAAGCTTGAAATCTTCAGCTAATTTACAATATAGGCTTCAGGAAGAAGACAGGCTAAATCAGTTGGCACAAGCAACTTGCAATGCAGTAAATATAGAGTACGTACACCATTGAGTTTGACCCTGTTGAAGATTACAATGTTATGAATCTAATTATGCCATGTGTTGTATATTTCTATGCAGTTATTAATAATACATATGTTTATTATTTCATTAATTAAATAATAGTGCATTGATATATTATATATCGCCATTAATTTGAATATAACTGCATGTATGAATATCTCGATGCCATTATGCTGACAATGAACATAAAAAAATGGTAAGTAATAAAGTATTGACGATTGTCTTCCATCCTTCCGGCGTCACTTTTAATATTTCCGTCACTAACAATATTCTTTTTTATTTTAGTTTCAATTCCCACTTATTAATAATGAACATTGCAAGATTTGATGGAAACAGTTGATCAATGAACGTATAAGCACGCAGTCTCGACAGTACGAATTATAGACAGGAAACGGATCTACAATATTCACATTCGGGCGAGGTTAAATACAGCTGATTGCATTAATCCACGTACCGTTTCAAAATCAAATATATACCGTCACATCCTTTTTCTGGACTGTTCTTAATGATGATGTACATAAAGTGATGGACATATTAAACAATGGTTTATCCACGCGAGTAAGAAGCGATATATTTTCCAGTGGCGATAGCATGCGGAGTTCAAAAATTACGAATAAAGATTGTCTGTATCACTGGACATTGACATTTCCGACCATCTATCACAGACATTGACACATCAAAATAACTCCGCGAAGAGTTCAACAGAAAGAATATTGGTATAATATCTGGACTAATTTGGCATAAATCAATTGTTTGAATAGCCAAATTAAAAGTTGTACAAGTGACAAAATCATTCAATAATATTCACATTTTATCATTTATATTATGTGTCAACTATCAAAGTCGCACTGTTAAGTATATTAAAATATACTTTTCATAAGATTAGATGTAAGATATAATTGTACGAAGGTAACTGAGGAACGACGATGTGTAAGACAATAAATCATACATACAGTGAAAAACGCTCTTTTTGTAGCACATCCTACATGTACATATCGGCAGCATTTTCCTTGCGATAGTAACTCCTAGTAATAATTAATAAATTCCGAGCACGTGCAAGGAATTTTTGGTAGGCGATTAAGGAAACGTATTGATGCGAACAAACTAACAAACGGACAAACTAACAAACTCACAGGCAGAATATAATGCGGTGCCAAAAATGGCACGGGCACCTATACTCAAAATAATTACAATATGTCCATGACAACCACGCATAAATATTCTCTATATATATTCGAATTTACGTTTAATTTGTCAAGTGGTAGGCAAGATATTAATCCTTTTGATTTTTTTATTCAGTGTCTTGACTCAACACGGGTGTGATAGGAACTTGAGAAAATGATAGTTGCAACTTGCGTGTTTCGATTGCAATTTGCTCGGAGCAATTTTCCGGTGAACGCAATTTATTTTACTTTATCTAGAACGATAACACTCAGTTATTTGGCAGTTAAAAAGTGAAGCCTCATGCACAGAGTAACATACAGAGGCTTACATCTCTGCGAGAAAACCGTAAGGAACCGGAGGGTGGTTTTTTTTGGCCGCCATGTTCTTAGCCAGTACCTGCACATGCGCAGTTTACGTAAAAAGGCAGCTTCTCTTTACTGGACTGGCTAAAAACATGGCGCATTTTTCCAAAAAATCCCTTACGCTAAATTAACCTGAAGAGACCTCTGTATGTACTTACTCTGTGCCTCGCGTGAGCAGTGGCATCAGCCCGCTCCATGTCTTTTATCTGGAAGGACAACATGCAGGGAGAGAAACATGAAGCCAATGCCACTTGACGCGCGCTGATTCGTGATAGACCGCGCGGTAATGGCGTATAAGGCGACTGAAACTGACATACTATATGGCGTGGCGATGGACCACGCGATGATGGCGTATAAAGGGACTGAAAGTGATGTACTATTTGGCGTGATCATGGAGAGCTGACGCCACTGCTCATACGCGTATTGCACACACAAGGCTTCACTTTTTAACTGCCAAATAACTGAATGTTATCGTGTCCCAGGTAAATAGATTGAGTTCACTGGATTGCAGTCCTCCACGCCACATAGTATGTCAGTTTCAGTCCCTTTATATGCCATCACCGCGTCGTCCATCGCCACGCCATATAGTATGTCAGTTTCAGTCCCCTTATACGCCATCACCGCATGGTCTATCATGAATCAGTGCGCGTCAGCCATGCTGGCGTTAGCATGAAGTGGCGTTGCTTCACGTTTCTCCCGCATGTTATCGTTCCAGATAAAAAACATACAGTTCACTGCAAGATTGATTCAATGTTGCAAAACTCATGGGAACAAAACATCCGGTTTGACTGTAATACTCAATGTCACTTCCAGTAACTTTTAATAAACAGCCATGAAGATGAAGTTTTTTTCCTAAGAAAATAAATTGCGTTTTAAAATGCAGTTACATGTGTACTTTAAATTTAAATTGACTGCATGCATGTACTAAAACTTTACTTTGCCAACTTTGAGTTTTTATAAGTGAAAGAGTACGAAAGTTTATTGCTTTGATTTTTATATATTATGTATATTCATTGATGTTTTGGTGCCCCCCCCCCTCAAAATTTAATTTTCCTGAGGTGACCCCCCTTTCCCATCACTATTTGTTCTGGTGGCCCCCCGCAAAAACCACCAGCCCCCCTCCTCCTGATAAAAAATGAACGGTCCCTTACATCAATGTGTACATTAATTAAGTTCTAATTCTACAATGTTTTTCTTGGTGGTTTTCCATATGCTCGCTCGATAATGACATCTTCGTTCGCAAATTATGAATGTCAAATCCAAGTGCCTCGAGCATTAAAACACTACAGTGAGGATGCAAAGAAAGAAATTGAACGAGGTCTTGATGGTTATTTTTGTTGTTCTGTTGCTTTGTATTCATTTTCTTAGTTACTTAAGAAAACCTCCTGACTCCCACACGGGACTTGAACCCGTAAACTAAAAGATTGTAGTATGACGCTTTGTCAATTAGCCTTTCTCACGATGACGAATATCCGCCATCTTTGGGTGGCATCTAATTCTCGTTAACCAATGCAAACAATTAAAACAACGTGAAAAGCAATTTTTCAAAATAAACTAACCATTTACAAAGCAGATTTACCATCATTCGTCCAAAAAATTATAAAAAAATTGCTGTTATGTGGACTTATCTCGCAGACTTCGGCTGAAAAGCCACCCCAAAATGGCGGCGTAAGAAAGGCTAATTGAACCCCCCGAATTTACATCACCTTGTAACTGAGGTCCCAGTTACATGATTAGCTAATTACTTTTCATATCGGATTGTCTACTTCAATCCGATAACAAAAAATAACAAAAAGCCCAGAGTTTTCCCCGTGGCTCAAAGCAAAGAGGAGTTTTGGAAAGCGTGCAGGGAGAGGTTGTGTGCTTGTGTTCTTCAATCAGGGACTGGTACGAAGGCTGATAACACTATCCACCAGTTAGCGATTATTAATAGTGAGGTCCATATCCATAATTTTATAGCTTTCCGAGCATTTTTACAACGGCTGAAAAACACTATCCGGTAGTAGCGCTATCCGGCCTTCGTACAACCGGCCTGAGAGGACAATCTTAATTTAATTGGATGTACAATATATATTGTACAAATAGGAAATGGCATATATGCACATGCAATCAACCATGCATGCCACAGTTATTTTCACTAACAGTGCTAAAATGCTAAACTCTTTAAACCATTTATGTCAAAACACACACTGTCGCCAGCAATAGTTATAGTAACACTCTAGTAACACTGACCGACGATGTCCCTGTGATGGCCCCTTTGGCCCTCTAGAGAGAACCATCTAAACAGAAATTATATCTACTGTAGTAAATGAAACTTGTTTTGCCTTTTGTAAAGAATGTAAATGTGTTCACCCAGTTTGTGACGATCTTGGCAATCATAGCACTGATACACTCCTAACTATCACATCTGTAATAGTTGATCTTCCTATGGCGCAGCATACGGTTGCATGTTAACTGGCAGTTATCATGCAGAGCAGAAACAATTTTAATTTTTTTTATTATATATGTGGAAGCAAAGAAATAAAATTGAGAGATGAAGATTACTTTTCGTTGTTTCTTACATTGTGAATAATCCTGAAGTTAACCACCATCTACTTGCCCACAACACTTGCTGAAAGCCACTAATACAAGGTGATTTCTCAATTTTAGAGCAGGGAAATTACGGCTTGATGCACTGCGTAAAAATACTACACCAACAGACAGCAGGAATGTTGATAGCGCGTTAGGAAACACGGACTCTGGTGACGGGGCTAAAGCACTAAAGAAAAGAGTAGCCATTGGTTGTAGACAGTGGAAAGAGATTGTTGAAAGTTATGGCATTATGGAAGAAGATGTAAAAGAAACACGGAAGAAATTGATAACTTTGCAAGATCTTGTGAGTTTGTTTGTAAATGTTATAAAAATTTATCAGGCAAAACAGTGGTTGACCGATTGTGCCACAATCGGAATTACCGATTACCAATTATTCAGAAGAATGCGTCCTCCTGTCAGATGAACCTGTTGACCCGTCTTTGACAGTACAGTACTTAAACCGCATTTCCACCGTTGTCAATTTTAAAATTTCAACAAACTTACTGTACAATATGACTACTATTAAAAACGTATAATTGCAGTTATGAATATAAAATAATAAATGTTTTAAATCTTCATCTTTAGCTGTTAAATCAAGGAATGGAGACCGAGCAATCTGATGATGAAAGCAACTTTACTTCGCTAGATGGCTCTCTCTTGCAAGAACAAATAACAATCCTGAATGCTCGCTTGGACCAACGTACTTCTGAATATGATGAACTTAAAAATGAACTAAACAGAACAAGGGAGGAATGTATTAACCTCCAGGGAATCAAACAAGGTTTACAATCTCGACTGACAGACCAAGAACAGGTTATGATGAAACTTAAAGGTGAATTATTGAAACTTGGCTTTTCACATCAGACTACAAATTCTGATAAAGATGAACTTCAGAAAATATTAGAAGAACGAGATCGAGAAATCGCGCTTCTTCGCTCACAATTGGTTTCGAAGGAGGATCAAATTGACAAGCAAAGAAAAGAACTCGATAAGGCGTTAACAAGAATAGCCGATGTCGACAATGTTGAGGTAGAGTTTTGTATTGATTTGCTCTAGTGCCTCTGCTCCGATCTTTTGAGATCTTGAAAGTTTTCAAATTACTTGTATTAAGTAGTATTTTTCTATTCCTTAAGGTCATGTTACACGGTGCAATTTTTCTTGCAACTTGCAATGCAATTATACTCTTGAGAGATGTTAATTAGTGAAATCAGTGAAGAATTTTCTATATGTTGAGAAAACATCAGCGGAGTGTAATGAAGAATCGTATTTGGCAATTTTACATCTCTCAAGAGTAGAATTGCATTGCAAGTTGCAAGAAAAATTGCACCATGTAACATGGCCTTTAGGGCCTGTTAGTGAAATCGATGCGGTCAGATCGACTTGAGATCGATCTCGATGAGGTCAGATCGATTTGAGATCGATCTCCAAGCGGACCAATTAGATACTGTAGTTCTTTCGTGCGGTCACAACACCATTACAAAATACGCGCGCAGATTTCGTTCCCCAAACAACAAAATGTGTTGTCTAAGGTAGGGCCAGGTCACACGTGAACTGTTGCTGAAAATATGAGATCGATCTGAGTCGGCCTGTTGGAAGAGGCCTCGACTCAAAAGCAGTAGCTTTTCGTGTAAGACGTGTAAAAAGAGAGATACAGTATAGTATGGTTGGAAGGGAATATTTTGACCGGGCTTTTAGCCAGAGTGTCAGAATGTGTCAAAATATACTGTGGGTGTGGTCAAAGAACATGCCCCTTAATTGAAATCATTTGTTATATACTTATAATTCAGCGGCTTTTCGACAAACAATTGATTACCACTTGATCTCAGTGGAGCAGTCCCATAGCGTCGGCAATCTAAATTCGCACATCCAGTACTCCTTTCCCCATATCACGTAATCTTTTGTATGGATGGATTTTTTTTCGGACAATCTTCATTTTGAAGAATGTCCGAAATTTTCTCTCCCCGAATTTTTACAATAGCCGATCATATCAGTCAGCGCATTATCCTCGTACTTCGTGCGGAAAGGTGTTTTCAACCCCAATAGCCACTGGTAATTTCCTCTGTTTTGTTCAGTTTGAATTACCCGTATAGCACTAAATTGTAGAGTTTGAAATATTTGCTAAGTGAATTATCATATAAATTTAGAAAGACCTTCGTTCAAAGATTAAAAAACATGAAGTAAACGCGGGAGGTCTGCGATCGCAAGTGAAAGAACTTCAACAGAAACTTCGATCTGTGGACGCTTCTGAGGTACAGGTGGTACTTTGTAAACATTATACTCTGCATGATCTATTTGGGCTATTTCGTTCTGTTGTATTATATTCTGTTTTGTTCTGTTATATTCTATATTCGATAAGAGGAGTGGAATTAAAGCAAAGGCGACATAAGTATTTGTTTCAATTCTAACTGTGTTATTCTTTAGGTAAAACTGTCAAACAGGATAACCTATCAAGATCGTAGAGTAGCTCTGCTGGAAGATAAAGTTCTGCGGGAGCAGGCAAGATCGGTAAGATTAATCTGATGTTGCTTACTTTATTATATTGACAGAAACGAAAATAAACAGGGACAGAAACCCATTAACCCCACCTATATCGTGTTGCATAATGCATTGCGGTCGCGTGCCTGCACAACCCGACAAATCACTGCCTGAGCTGAAAATCGGCAAATAAATGGAAACCTTCGAACTGCGCTTTGTAATATTGCTCATGAAGCTAGGAACTTATGATTGGACAATTTCGACGATCGAAATAGTTTGGCAATCTAGAGGCAGTTGATGCAATCGACATCAACAACAACGCAATCTGCTCCAGAAGGCGACAGAGAAAGAAGTGTGACGGTCGTAGGCCCATAAGTACAAATGCGAGTAATTATTACTCGCATTTGTACTTATGGGCCTACGACCGTCCCCGGTGTACTTAATCGATAAAAATAGATCACCGGAAATCCAATCGATCAATCAATAGTAATCGATGTTAATTTCTTAATTATAAAATGCTTTCGATTTTTATCGATTTATATCCTAAATAATCGCCGCGTGTCGGCGTGTTCGAGCTACATAAATAGTAAATCTGTTCTCATTTTTCGAATGTACACATGTATTTGATCTGTATTATAGCTAGATGAAAACCTAATTTAATCCATTGTTACTGAATTCCGTTCTATTAATTAAATTACGGCGTTACCTGTTTGATTGCATGCATATTAATGGCGGATTTTTTTATCAATGAAAATTAATAATAAATCGGTGATCAATCGATGAAAGTCACAGCAAAAGAAGCCATCGATTATTCATCGATTTCCAATATCAATCGATTGATAAATATCGATTGGGATTGATAAATATCGATTGGTATTGATTGATATCGATACTCATCGATTATCGATTTCATCGATTAAGTATGCCGGGGACCGTCACACTTCTTTCTCTGTCGCCTTCTGGAGCAGATTGCGTTGTTGTTGATGTCGATTGCATCAACTGCACTGCCTCTAGATTGCCAAACTATTTCGATCGTCGAAATTGTCCAATTATAAGTTCCTAGCTTCATGAGCAATATTACAAAGCGCAGTTTGAAGATTTCCACTTATTTGCCGACTTTCAGCTCAGGCACAGGCTGTGATTTGTCGGGTTGTGCAGGCACGCGACCGCAATGCATTATGCAACACGATATAAAAGTGCTTTCAGCATATGATAAAAGTTTAGCATGTTACATGAAAATTTGGAATACGATGTAAAATGGGTCGCGGCAAAATTAAAGTTTGGCATGTTATAAAAAACTTTGGCATGTTATTTAAAAGTTTAGAATAAGTTATATAATTTGACAACACGATGCAAGAAGTTCTGAATGTATATGATGATGTTTAGAATGGCCTTTATAAGTTTAGCACAAGTTTTTGAAAATTATCACTGTGTATGTAAAATATGCCATATATATTTTGAATTTAGCATGTTATAGAATAAGTTCAGAATAATGTCCAATTCCGCGCCTCATATGTATAGGTAAGAGAAATTACGCGTTTTTAGAAGAAAAGCATGAATGGTGATCATAACTAAATACAAGTGGAATAACATCATTCGTTGTGATCGGTGTTGTTTTGTTTTGTTCACCCAAATACATAACATTTGCTTTGCAGAAACTTGAGGATATGGATACAGTCAGACAATGTTTACAGAGACTGAGAAGTTCTCTTTCTGGGCAGGATCCTCAGCATCGCACGCTAGACACTTTGGAAGAGGTGGGAAAGCGTTTGTAAAAACAGTAGAGAACTTATTCTGCATGGTTTCCATATGGTCGTAACGGTCGTAAAGATCGAGTCATGATCCTTCTCATCAGCCGAAATACAACATTTTAGAACTGAAAATACGCGGAGTGATTATAACTAGAGAATACTTATGATTTATATGTGGTTTACAGGTATAAACTGGCCGTTGACAAGATCGTGATCTATTTTTACAACCATGCATTACAACCATATGTAAACCAGGCTTTAGCAGCCGACGTCTTTTCAAAACGGACCTTTATCACGACATGTTCAATTTTTATAGTTTTTTGCAAGAGAACATTGTTACAAACCATATACTATACTGTCGCATATGGGCCTTCCGAAGGAGGTTTTTTAATTGATACATAATATATTTTGTAAACTGGGAGGAGGTTGTTGTATTGATTTTGTTGAACTTCTTGTTGATTCATGCTGTTATTCCTCTAAAATATATTTAAGGCGATCAAATTTATTTCATTGCAACTATTATGATATAAATAATATACAATGTAAACTTGCAAATAGTACTACGTAATTCTGATGAGTATATTATCACAACCCTCACCCAGCCCATTTTTAACAGCACTTGTAAGACCAATCAGCCGAACAAATAAGTAATTTTTAGGAGGAGTGCCCGATTTGATCAGTCCTATAGGACTAATTTAGACTATTTCTACTATAGCAGCAGTTATAAAATATAAATAATACTTGCATACTGTACGGATGAAGCGTCTTTATATTTGTCACAACTCAGCAATGTTTTATTAATATTTTTAGACTTTAACCAATATAGTTGACACTGGATTTGTACCGTTTCCCACTAACGATGTTTTCAAGGTACAGTTGAAGATTTAATGTAAGAGAACGAAGATCTCATTTCTCTAGCTTTTTCTTGTCTTCAATGTCAATGCTTATTAGAACCTTCTAATTGAAGCTCTGGTTTCGTATTGAAATTCTTTCGTAAACAGTTGTTATTTAAATTCTGCGAAGAGCTTATTATGCTTGTGATTCTTCATACTTTTCTTTAAGTATAGGTAATCATGCGATGGCGAGTACAATTGGGGATTAATAGTACGAGTGATGTTTGGAAATTTTGCCAAAATTGGACGAGCCGCCGGGGCGAGTCCAATTTGGCAAATTTCCAAACATCACGAGATTTTTTAAACACGTTTGTGTTTAAAATACCTTTCCGCCATTTTGTTTGTTTTGGGAAAATCATTAATTGAACTGCAGTACAATTAATGAAATAATTGTACTCCTCTCAACCAATCAGCATCCAGTAATTTTGTCATGCTAATAATAAAAATAGTAAATCTTTATTTACTATATTATAAATAAATGTGTTGAATTGAAACATTCAACGTTGAAGGCGTTTTGGAAAATGTCGACAGATTTCTTTTACTGCTGTACATGCATCTCAAACCATGTATTCATGGTTATAAAAATCACATTTCTAGACTTTTCACAGTTGTCATGTCCTTTGTTTACCGCTCATAATTACAATTAATGAGTGGTATAAACAAAGGAAATGACAATTGTGAGAAGTCAAGTCTAGAAATGTGATCTAAATTGGCATAGAACTTCGTCAACCTTCAACTTTAATTTCTCTTAAAATTCAGACTTTCTTGCCATCCTACTTTTCTTCATCTTTCCTACTTTTCCTATTTTTAATTAAAAATTGCTTATTTTCCTACTTTTTCTCATAAAATCCTACTTTTTTAAGACAGCTTGGGGAATCAGTATGTTATACTGTAGCTCTCGTAATTAGATCTATATAGGACTCGTAATTTTTATTCCCTATTTGTGTCCCGGATGATAAGATCTCAGGAAGAGAAGAAGTACTTTTTCCGAGTATAAAATTCCATAGCATCTTTAGAATTATAATCAATAAATTAATGAAGACTCTGAAAGTGCCATTTCCGACGATCTAGAGATTCCAAATATTCAACACCCCTCAGTTAATCAAGCGTCATAAACACGCGGGAATGTTGCGAGGGTTAAGAAAAGCGAGCGAAATCACGAGCCGAAGGCGAGTGATTTTGCCCGCTTTTCTTAACTCGAGCAACATTCCCAAGTGTTTGGATCATTCCATCCAAACACGGAAACCATAAAGTAATTGTTTTATAAAATAACAACAACACGATAGCCTTCCGTGTTTGGATGGCCTGATCCAAACACGGGTTTCGACCAATCAGAATACGCGTTATGTACATGTTATTTTATAAATTAATATCTAATTTTAAACGTTTCGAGAAAAAATCCTGCATAGATGAATGAGTACAAAAAAATATTGAGCACCAAAAATTCACACAACTTCCCCATTAGATATCTAATAGTCCACCCCTTACCATATATATCCTAGGGAGCCAATTTTGTATATTTTTGTGTTATTTGCATCTCCAAAAACTCCTACTTTTGTCCTACTTTTCTACACATTTTCCTACTTTATTCCTACTTTGCCTAAAATTATAGTCCTACTTTTGTCCTACTTTTCTACACAAGGATGCCAGAAAGCCTGAAAATACTGATTCATTGGTGAATTCGAGATGTCATGTCAAACCCGACTATTCGGACTTTACCAGACATCCAGTCCTTGCAATTAGTTCAGTTCGTGCGCGAACTTGATATCCGGTAAAGTCCTCATTGTTTGATTTGATATATTACATCGACTTTCTCCCTCCAAAAACAAAACAACATTGATCAACTTCCATGTTATTCTTTTTTATGTGTAAGCCCTTGTGTACCTATATTTTGAGTGCGGAGAGTTATTTAGTTTTATCATGTACTCGGGAGGTGAATCTTGCACTATTCACCTCCTCGTCTTAGCAAGTGCCAGTCGTGGAGCATATACATTGTGGTGCGGTAATATCCCTGAGCGGTTTAATTTCGCTTATTATACCGCAGCTGTATTCGGGAAATTGTATTCTTACGCTTGCCATAGTTTGCACTTTTTATAAACATCGATCAGCCTCAAATCCGACCTATAAATTATACTTTTTTTCCGCAGGCATCTCCAAGAAATAACAATTATCAAAACGGCCTTAGCAGTCCTCGAGAGAAAGGTGAGTGTAATATACAATTGTGTATATTCTTCCTTTTGACTTTTGAAATTCGTATAAACGCTTATGTAACGAAAAAAACTCTTTTACGGCAAGTTAATAATATAACAGGTACATAATATAATCTCATGTTGAGTGATGCATGAATGAAGGTCTATGCAGTGGCGGACACTGGGGGGGACTGAGCGCTGAAAAAGTTGCAATGATCGATAGCTGGATAAGAACTGAGATATCCATAACCAAAAGAAGGGGGGGGGGGTAACTTTAATTTCCCCACGCGTGAAATGTCTGCCATGCTTTCTGCACGAGTTCATGGTGACGTATATGGTAGTTTTCTTGGAGTTTTCTTCATACATATATTTCGATAAATGCATGTGTATGTATAGAAATGGTGTCCCACAGTTCTCTTAGTTTTTCTCTGATCCATTTTGACCTTCCCAGTAATATTATATAGTACTCAGTTAACGAGCAATCGTTCAAGGGCTTTGGGAAGCTATTTGGATCGGAGCGATCACTTTATACTTAGTGTCGACTAATATGGTTATTATAATTAACAATTATTCATCGAAGTGGAGGTGAATAGTGCAAGGATATACACAGTACGATAGCTTGAAAGAATACCTCTGCACACTGTTAAACAAAACTTTGTGGCTTTCTTCGTGCTTAACCGGAGCGAAATGGGACGTCATTTTGTTTTTGTCCGCAGGTGAATGGTGCAAGGATATCCAGAGCTGGGCAACCAATCAAATTGCGCGAAAGCACTATCCACCTCCCGAGTATATGCTAATACATTGTATACCATTTTAGACGTTACAAAGTCACCAGATGTTACACGGATAACCTACCAACCATCTTGGTCTTCCACACCATCTGTTCTGATTATGTCGAAAAGGTAATCATCACGAATTGATAGTATAAGAAAGATTTGACGTCGTCGAGCATGACTTCGTCACGACTGTTACAGTCAATTAGCCTTTCTCACGCCGCCATTTTTGGGGTACTGTAATTTTTCGTAAACGATTATAACAATGTGAAAAGCAATATTTCAGAACAAACTAACTATTTACAGAGTAAATTTACCATCATACACCCATAAAATTATAAAATGTCGAAGTTACGTGGTGTTACACTCGCAGGATTGGCAAAAAAGTACCCCAAAAATGGCGGCGCGGGAAAGGCTAATTGAAAATGCTTAATTAAAGAAACTGAAACTAATAAAAAAACTCGTAATCACAATATGTATACTTGAGTCGTTTTGTCACACACGTTGAATCGTTGATCATCAACATGCATTAATTAACGGGGTTAATGGGATCGATTTGCTGTTTTTTTCAAGCAAATGAAGTGGATGGTGCATGTAGGTTTATTTTAAGTTTCTGCTTTGCATTTTGGTTAAGAGCAATCTACGCGCTATATTCAAGAAAAAATGGGGCCACGGACTAAACTCTCTGGAATACCGCAACGAAGTGTACATTCTCTTTAAAGTGCCTATGACACGAAATTTCACCCCAAATGTTTATGGTTGCATTGTAAAGATCACTTAAAATGACTTAATAATTTCTTTTATAGAATTTTGGTAACTTGCTTCCTTTTCAAGATATTCAAATTCGTTTCATATGCAAATATCACCGGTGTGACATCACATCACATAATGAGTTTTCAGAAAAGTATAGTTTTCTTGACGAATACGTATCTAAAAAACTTAAAAATTGCCCTTGTATTTGTATTAATTTCATAACTGGCAATAACCCTCTGTATTTGCACGGGCAATAGGACAGGTGTAGTGTTGTTAAATAAAAAGTTAGAAATGGTATTGTACTTACCCATGCATTATAATTATGTTTAGAAGATCAGAATATTCATAAATTCTTATTTTGTTTCATAAATAGTTCTTTAATATTCGAAACAAATTCCATATCTGCTTCGTCTGCCATCGCCATGTTTACTCGTCCCAATCTACATGCTGCACGGCATTGCCGCCCCTCCTGGCAAAATAATAAGCAAGCGAGAAAAATTAAGGAGAAAATAAGAGGGTAGGAACACTGTGGGCGTTTCGTGGGCGTTTCGTGGGCGTTTCATCGCTCTGGGCGAATCAGCTTTCTCAATCTTGTATCACAAGACTAATTCAAATCGTCATAGGCGGGAAGCAGCATTACACGTCATCCCTACGTCAAATAAAACGTTATAAAACGCGTCGTGGATACGTTTGTGCCATATATGGAAGTTATGGATACGTTTGTGCCATATATGGAAGTGTCACTGCATCCAGCTTATGACAACGATGTTCCTACCCTCTTATTTTCTTCTAATTTTTCTCGCTTGCTTATTATTTTGCCAGGAGGGGCGGCAATGCCGTGTAGTATGTAGATTGGGGCGAGTAAACATGGCGGCGGCAGACAAAGTAGATGTGGAATTTGTTTCGAATATTAAAGAACTATTTATGAAACAAAATAAGAATTTATGAATATTCTGATCTTCTAAACATAATTATAATACATGGGTAAGTACAATACCATTTCTAACTTTTTATTTAACAACACTACACCTGTCCTATTGCCCGTGGTATTTGTTTGTAAAAATATTTTATCAAAGTAAAATATTGCGTTTTCAAAATGTCATGCGATGTGATGTCACACCGGTGATATTTGCATATGAAACAAAGTTGAATATCTTGTAAAGGAAGCAAGTTACCAAAATTCTATAAAAGAAATTATCAAGTCATTTTAAGTGATCTTTACAATGCAATCATAAACATTTGGGGTGAAATTTCGTGTCATAGGCACTTTAATGGGGAGCTCTTCACACAGCGTTAATTAAATACCAGTTTTGGGGTGCATTCGATGGATGGGATTTTTTATTTCTGGAATAATTTTGTATCGGAATTTTGTAACCATATACGAATTATTTCTAGACTTGGCGAGGTGACTTTGGGAGATTTTAAATCGTTACTTGATCCACCAGGACAATATCGATATTACTTTAAAGCTTTGGATGCAGAATTTGGAACTATCAGGGAAGAGGTATGAATTTCTAATCACCCTATGTGTCGTTACAGAAAGTACAGAAAGTTCAATCAGAAAAAATGGGGCCAATTTCGATGTTAACTACCCCAATTTTAGATTAAGTTCTCCCTTTCCTTGCAATCCTTAATTCCCACCCTCTAATCCTTGTCACGCCATTTTATAGTACTGTAATATGGAAAAAACGTTTGAGTGCGCCATACTTGAAATTCGTACGTACAGCAATTCCTTTCACTGTGACAGGATATCAGATGGGATACAAAAAGTTATATGCTTGAACACGTAGATAGTTCTCACTCATGACTATCACAGCCAACTGGGGCACTTTGTATATAAATGCCTGAAAAGCTGTCAATAGGCATATGGACCCATTATATTTATGGATACTAAACTTTAATCTGGGTTCTACCAGTCAATAGTCTATTTTAGAAAGCTTGACAAAATCACTTTTCGCTGGAAAGCAATCCAAACGACAACAGGCCTATAAGGCGCCTTGGTGTAACATTTGCAGTGTTTTGTTCACTTTTATCCTATTTTTAAAGATAAACATCGTTAGGGTTTCCACGTCTTCGAATTTCTACCTCAAGTTCTCATTTACTGTTTCAGCTGGTGAATGACGAGGACGTGATCCCAGGTTGGGAAGGTAAAATCATGGCATGGATTTCAGACTCTACTGAAGATGAAAAAGTCAACTTCGGTCAAAATGATTCCAGTGCTTCACTCAAAACGAAACGAAGCGAAACTGATATTTAACTAATATATTGATTATAATTAGAAGAAATTATTATATAAATATGCATATAGCTGTAAATCGATTTAAATTATATATTAAGAATTGTTCGCAAAGTAATATAATTATACTTTTATTAATTAAAGCCTGGTGGTGTCATTATATAAAGATATAGAAATTGCGGGAACCACTATAAGTATTTTAAATACAAAACAATACTACTCCGAAAACGTTAATGAAACAGAAATTAATCAATTTAGTCGAAATAAACGCTTTTCAAAATGTTTACTGTTTTACGGAGTTAGAGATTGTGACCATTATCCCCAAATGCTGGATACATGCCTGGAATGACGTCATGAAAATGCGTGAAAATCCTACTGGACATGTACCTCCGCAGCGTTTTGGTAAAAAATGTAAATTTGGTAATAACCGCAGAGCTCTCCTGGTCAGTGTGACCAGATTTGGTGAAATATTTTACTTTTGATAAAATTACTTTTGGTAAAATTTCGTGAATTTTGATAAAATTTTAGTAATAACATTTGGTAAAATTTTGGTAAAATGTTTAGAAATTTTAATGACTTTACCAAATTTTTGATAAAATTCGTCTTTGGATAGGATGGGACAGGATAAACTTTATTTAAAACACGATAAATAAATTCTGCTACGGTGTGGGCCAGAGGCAGTCATTTGTGGTCTCGAAAATGGCGAGAAAAGTAACGGAAAAACGTAAACAAAAGCGCGCATTGCATCGTGGTTGACCAGGACTCTTTAACTGATACTGATCGAGTATGGGTCCCTGTGATATCACTAACGCAGCTAGATTTATATTCTCAGTATCAAGAAATTTTAAGCAGGGGCGAAACTTGAGGGAGGGGGGGTTGGCAGGGAAATGTGAAAAATTCCAATAAAATTAAATAAATGAATTGTGAGTACAACTTTAAATGATAGAATGTAGAGTTATTAAAAGTAACTTAACATTAAATGATTTTAAAGTTAAGTTACAGAACTTTTTAGATGCTTAGAGTTTCTTATTGGAACATTGAACTTAATAGCTTTTAACCTGTAGTACACATTCTTATTTATCTTAGTCTTAATTATTTTGTAATTATTGTAGATACAGGACCCTAGTTGATAACAGTGTAGATCAGTGATTAGGCTTCATGTTTAAATATTACATAATAATAATAATAATAATAACTTATTACAGCTAGCAAACAATAAGCAGTTCGTATGCATGTGCCATTGGCATCGGCAGTTCAATTATACACGTAGCTTAGTGATGTATTGTATTAGCGCTGGCGCTGCAGGGCATCATTGATTTTGGCAGGGCAATTCTGCCAGACACCCCCCTAATTAAAAGGGGCTAGTTTCGCCCCTGATTTTAAGGGTCTTGCTGCGCTTTGTGGCCAATTTTGAGCAGAATTTTGAGCAGATTAGTCCCTAGTCCTCTGTGCACGCTTTTGATTTCCGTGACGTCACCGAGCGCATTTGCCGTCACCTCATTAATATGCAGAAACGCGAAATAGGCGCACTAAGAGAGGGTGGGGCGTGGGAGCGAAATTATTTTTCTCGATTTAGTAAATTTGAACACAAAGTTTAGTCACTGATCAGTGCCTGGTACCAGCAAATTGCAATTCGAATATTGTTTATTGTTTTGAATTTGAGTGAATATTGTTTACAGCTCGGTTTACAGTATGGCTACTCAAGATACTCTAATACAATTTATTCAAAATTATCAAAGGTCAAAGATATTTTTCAAAATCGCTGGCATTTCAGGAGCACTAGCTATTGCTTTAGGAGCATATGGAAGCCATGGTATTAAAGTGCCTTTATAATATTCATAATAGTCAGTTCATTTCAATCATTTGTAGCCTAGTTTATTTATCAAGATGATTCTAAATTTCTGATTAAATGTCACATGTAGTATTTAGCAACGTTGTATTGATGCAGCATGATATTAAACCATGATTCTTATAAATAATCTGCTAATTGCCACAGCTCTGCAAACTGGTACAAATAGTGTGAACCAGGGTTTTTTTAGAAAAATTTAAAACTGTGCATACAGGGATGTTAGGGACCGGTCATTAATTACAGGGGGGGGGGGCTGGTGGAAATGAAAAATTAGATGCTAAAATTTTGTTGGGCCCCCTTGAGGATAACACACAATTATACTTGACCCCCCACATGCAAATAACAAAAGGCACATTCGTAATTTAAAGTTCTTATAAAGTGAAGCCACATTTAATCATACTACCCTATCATAGTTGCCAACTTTGGGAAAAAACATCTGAGATTTTGCTTTGGGGGGCCCACAAGGCGCCACCATAGTTGGCGCTGAGCTAGCCTGCGCGGCAGGCGGTATTTCTACAGGCAGCGAAAATTAGGGAGGCAAAGGAAATACCTAAGTACCGCCTGCCATGCAGGCTAGTGCCGAGCGAGTCTGTAGATTGTTGGAAATGGCATTTTCAATGTCTATACCTTATACACACAACTTTTGGGAGCTTTTATTTAGATATACAAAACCATATTGTTGAATACCCACGAGTACGAGGTTGCATGAAGTGATGTTTTGATTATCTATTTATGGCTGCATCCATGAGAGTTGGCACCTATGCCCTATATACATGTATCATAATTTATAATATTCTTTACTGTTTATTGAATCAACGGCTGTTCCAATGTACATGTTTATGTTGAAATCATTTTAATAAATGGTGTTGTGCTGGAGTTTACTACAGTTCTACTGCTCTCTATGTTTTATCTGTAGGTTTTATGGTATGATGGGGTCATGCGGGGCAGGTATTTATATTGTGCAAAAATGTTTGGCCCCCTTTTTCATGCACAAAAATATCTGACCCCCCTCTTTTTCCACCAGCCCCCCCCTGTAATTAATGATTGGTCCCTTACAAAGCATAAGGTGTTATAGTGAATAGCAAATCAAAGCTTGCTTTGGAGAATAGGATTCAACAGTATCCAGTAATAATCATAATGCAAATGAAAATTTTAGGAAATTTTATGGTGACCTGCCAAATGTTTAGGTAATCTTTGATAGCCCCCCCCCCCCCTAAACTGCAGTGTTGAAAAATGATGACCCCACCTCAAAATCACTAGTCATAGCCTCTCCTTAAAATCTGTTAATAACCCATTAAGCTGCAGATCAGCTTCCCCAGTGACGAGTAAAATCGTCTGGCGTTAAACAAGTAAAAAAAAAGTAGGGCGCACTGCCACTGGGGTGCATTGCGGTTCAATGGGTTTAAGAAAGTGTAATTTATACCAGGGCGTAAAAAAAATACTTGTGGTTCCGGTTCCCGACCGACCCTATTTTTTTCAACGCGATTGACAGTGCGACCCTATTTTCTCCAGGTGGTTGCGGGCTGCTCATACAGCGTGCCAAAATGGTGTCTGTTGTCACACTAATTATGAACCAAATTGCCTACATTCGTCCATAGGAAATACGCATCTCTAGTTAATATTGATGTCGGGACTTTTTAGCAAAAAAACGCCAAAACCATGAAAAAAATATTTAAAAAAAAAATTATTTCCGACCTACCGACCCTAATTTTTTCACGATATGAAACCGGAACCACAGGTATTTTTTTACGCCCAGACAATCATGGCTAATTACAGATCAAAAGCGTTGCTAAATAAATATTACGTGGTATATTGTGTTAACTTTCCACAAAATAATTAAAACAAATATATACGCAGCTATAAGCTAGCTAGCTATATCGACCAATCAAAATTAGACATGTCTAGTGACAATGTATAATAGTTGCTTAATTTGCTTTTGTTTGGAGATCTGCAGTTAGCTGACTTGTTAGCCCATATGCTTCATCTTTATATGGAAATTTTTTAGCACGAATCTTAAATCTACCTGAGAATAAAGAATTTAAAAAGGTATGCATGTATATACTGCATGACTTGACTTAGCTTGTGTAGCAGACGTTTAGTGCGGGCTGGAGAAGCGAAGGCGGCGGCGAGGGAACGCCTGCCCACTCTCAAATGGTTCTAAAATGTCAAATGTGTTTTCGACCGAAAAAACGTCGTAATTCCCATTGATCAATCTCGTTGACGGAAGTAATTACGTAACTCAAATGTCAACAATAATTTTGCCCGCGTATATATTCTCATATGGCTGTTTAATGCTTTGGAGGAAACTGTTTCTGATATTTCAAGTCTTTTATGTTTTGAAATTCAGTTGAAACCAGAACAGAGAAAGTCTATTATTAATTTGCTATGTGGTGAAGACGTTATCGCGACTCTTCCTACATACGGGATACAAAAAAAGTTTGATCTTTCAATTATACATTATCGCCAAATCAAAACTTGCTACATGCCAGCACGAGCAGGGATCGTTATTTGTCCTCTTGAAAGTATAATTCAAGACCAGATAGCTGAGGCTACATCACTTGGCATTGCAGCTATGAAGTTGAACGATGATTTTAAGAATAACACTTCAAAACATGCTCACCTGTTATTTGCTACGGCAGAATACGTTTATAAACAACCATGGTTCAGGAGCTTTCAGCACAGAGCTTTTATCCTTTAAAACTTTTAAAGGATAAAAGCTCTGTGTTGTCTAAAATAGCATAAAATCTCCCTAGTTGCCGAGCAAAAAACATGCATGATGCTATTAATATAAATCTCGACCATGATTGGATAATGGGTGAACCGATGGAAGTGCTAATTACAAAACGTCAATCACCATTTATGGGAGAAAACAAATTTGTATGCATAGCCGTTTGGGCAGGCGTTCCCTCACTGCCACCTTCGCTTCTGCCGCCCGTACTAAATGCCTGCTACGCAGGCTAGACTTGACAGTGTTCATTGATTGAACTTCTTATACTTGGTGCTATAAATTTGATGCTCATTGTATAATTTATCCTACTTTTAACTGTTTTAGAGTTTTGATTCTGCCAACCGATACCATTTAATTCACAGCGTTGTCTTGCTTGCGCTACCGTTAATGAAAAGACCAAATTTGGTATGAACTGCAGACCTGTATTTTAATATAATTGAGCCATGTTCCATCCTCTCTCATGGAGGAAATTGGAAGTTAACCCACCTACACCCTTCAGATGCCCTCATACACTTACTATTATTAGAAACAAATTTTTCTCTCCTCCTTTTCTGGATGGCAGAAATTTCTTCAATGTGGGTGGGGGGGGGGAGTGTGAATCTTTTCTGGATATTTTGAATGTGAAAATCAAAGGACTGGATGGGTTCAAGTCTGAGAATGTAATTATTTTGACGGCCATAAAGCACAATGAGGTTAGAATCAGGCGCTCTTATCTGATTTTCTATTTTCATTGTCGGCGTAAAAAACCGGGATTGCCACTTGTGATCATGTCATAGGATCATGTACACGTACATATCTAATTAGAATTATTAGGATTCATGATTTTAACACTCGCGCTATAATTATACTAACTTTGGTTTTCCTTGAATTTCAAAAATCCAAACCTTGACGTGCTGAGCTGACCTGAATCATGTTTATTTACTAGACATTACAGATCTGTTTATATGACAACTTAAGAAAACACAAAAATTGAACAAGGCAAGAACTTAAGTGATGCTGTAGGGCTAGCAAAATTAAGTGATGCTGTAGGGCTAGCAAAAGTAGTCCTTGTAGCTTTAATACCAGAAAGAGACAACATCATTTATTAAAGTAGTAAAGCAAAAAAATATTTTGTGCACAGTATTAAATGAGGTACGTGATTTTCAGGTCTGGATGACTGCATGGAGTAAGGTTGTAACGACTTGTTCATGATTTAACCAAGGGTGTAAATGTTATTTGACATAATTTTGACATGCATTAATCAGTTTTGAGGCTGCAACCAAACCTTAGGGAGCCCCACACCCAGTAGAATTTGATTCTGTATTGTGCTGCCTGTGGCGATCGCACTGAACGCCCCAGCAGAAGTATCGTTTCCATAATATTTCAAATCCGAA